TTAAAAATCGACGTTAAAACTTATATTATTTGGGCTTGAATTTAAAGGTCATTTTTTCAGTGGACCATTAGATAGTTTAGTTTTGCGTTTGTAAATTCTTTTTTTTTTTGTTTTTCCATTTGTTGAATTATTGATAACCTCAAAGTGAAATACAAATGATAATACTCAATCCCGCTACAGGAGAGTCACATACAACTCATTCCAACTAGTCAATCACATACCCACGACTTAAATCCGAAACTAAAACAAAATTTGGAAAGCTATAACATTGAAAACCAAAAGCAAAGAAGAGTCCTAACAATGGAAAAATGATCCAAGCCACTCTGAACCTTCTTCGTTGATATATCGCCGCAAGAAAAATTATTCGGAAAGACGAGGAAGACCTGCTCTAAGAACAATTTCAGCATCACCGCACCTTCCAAAGCTTTATTCGTCTACAAATCGATGGCGAAGAGGACATATCAAATCGGAGCAGAGAGAGCACCTCTGAAGCTCCAAGGTATAAGCCGAGACCCAAATAAGCCTAACCTCCATAGAAGTTCAAGAGACAATATCATGCCATTGACTTAAAGTCCACCGACACAATTTCTTATGACTTTAAACCAAACCACACCCAGACTAACCGACAACACCACATAGAAAATGACAATGAAACAACCATACAATTTATGACCATCGATACGGCTAAGAAACCCAAACACCAAAAGCTTTGACTGCGATTTATGACCACCGACACGGCCTAGGTAACCCAAACTACTGAAGCAAACTAAAACTAAAATGATTTTGCACAAAATTAGAAGTGTAAGTAATAAATTTAATTTTATGTTTAGCGAATATATATGTATTAGACAATTTAGATATAAATCGAACATATCACTAAATTGGGAGTTTTAAATAACCGACTAATGAATAATTACGAAGATATTAATAAAAGGGATGAGTGGGGGAATAAAAACAAGGGATGAGTGGGGGAATAAAACAAAGTTAAAAAAAAGTTATGCGTTTCTAATAAAAGGACGTTGTCTTAAAAACCTTCAGACAAGAAAAACAAGATTTGTATCACACAAAGATGGTGCAGAGAAGAATTCAAGAAATAAAACAAGTTTTG